TAATAGGCCGGTGTTTTTCAGTGATTTTTCATTAATTCTAAAAACCAAATTTCGATGGAATTGGAAACCCTAAAGAAAAACCATTATTGACGATCCAACACCATATATTAATAGATAGAATTTCCATTTTTTTGCTGAATAGACAGATTAGTCATTTTCCATACTTAATTACGTCTATAATAGCTTTTTTCATAACATACATTTTTTCCACATTGAGTCTCAACTATTGGTAAAGCAATCATACTCCATTGACCCAAACTAGAACCTAATTTAACGGCTCTTTTGCGAAAGGTGTGAATGCAAATAAAAAGCATCCCCTGGATAAGCTTCACCACTAGGACGTCTTCTTAGTAGAAGAGACATTTGGCGATAAGCTTGCGCTTGTTTGGAGAGATCATCATAAATTATTGTAGCAGTGGCTTGCCTGAAATCCAAAGTCTTCACTTGATCCAGGACGTGTGATGTATATGTCATTCCGAAATGATCTGTTAATCTGCTAATAAGTTGTTTCATAGCACTTCCATCTATCACTTTATTGTGAAAGACCAGTTCGGTCGTTCTGCCATAAGTACCTCCATATTCTACTGAGTAGGATTCGACAATGGGCCTGAGCCAGTGATTCGAAAACTTCACCGTCGAGAAACAAAAGAAAACTTAAATATCCAAGGTTAGCTTAGACGTATCTCGCTTCTTTTTTAGTGTACCAAAATCGCCTCGCAAGCATAAGCATTAGCTCTCCCAAAAAATGAGGTGATCCAGCCGCATCTTCCAGTACGGCTACCTTGTCACGACTTCATTGAAGAGGAACAATATAGAAGGAAACATCCCAAGAATCATCGTAGATGATTAAGATAGGTTCAGCTACCAAAAGAACGAAACAAACAGTTACAAAGGGAGCCCTTTTAAAGTATATAATCATTCTCTAACGCATTTTAATTAATCCTTCTGCTTTGCACATTACAATGAGTTCTCATAAATCAGTAATTAGCTTTTCACAAATCAAGC